GATTCGACCTTTCGGTTTGGCTTCCGGTTTGATCAACCGATTTCATTAAACAACATTATGAGTTTATGTGGACATATGTGTGTACTTTGTGATTATATATGCTATGATGTTTTATTGTTTATCCATGATTCATGTTAGTTCAAGATTATCACCTCGAATTGAATGTCTTATTGCTTGTATTGTTTTGTGGTGTGTTTTGGGCGCCGATTGTCGATATCCCATGGAGTCCGGGTGAGACAACCGGAGGGGCTGCCATACTCACTGCCCAATGGGAGCCAGGGGGTGAGTATAGGACTTTCGCATAATCCGGAAGAAGAAGGGCGGATTTGGTGCCAAGTCTTATGTTTGTGTGTGAAGTTAATTGGTATGTGACCTTACTTGATCTCGAGGATGATGTTGAWTATATTGATGTTCTTTTTCTATGTTGAACATTTTTTTTGTGATTCCCACATTCAAAGTAGATTGTTGTAAAGGGAATCATGTGGTACAACTAAGTTGTTGTCGTGTTGTTATGCAAAATTTCTTTCGAGACCTTTATTTCGTAGTATGTAYGCTTATAACACATTGTAACCACATTTTTTCCACATAAATTCACTAAGCCATATAGCTTATCTTTTAGTGGTTTTAACTTTTCAGGGCAAATTGGCAAAGGCAAAAACAAGGTCGRWTGATCGATTAGGGAYTGWTGTGTAAAGCCTACTTTTGAGTTTAGGTATAAGTTATACTTTTGGGTTGTTMATAGTATGTATATTCCGGGTAGACAWGTCCCCGATGATTATRTTTTTGTTAGCTATGTATTTATTAAGTCTTAAAATTATGTATTTTGGGTTGTAAATCGCTATCCCGTATCTTGAGGTTTTTGAAACTAAAATTTATTTAATGAAGGTTGGTAAGTGTTTGTTTTGTAATCGTGGTGTTACACCTTTGGAACTAGAATAATGAATGAAACGTTGCATCCGCTTCCAATTTCTGCGTTGGACTCGAAAGATTTTATCACCTTGTAAATGTCCTTGCCAATGTCATCCCAAAACTTTTTAAAGAAAGCGAAAGAGTAACTATCAGGGCCTAGTGCTTTCTCGTTACCGCATCCCCATACCGCGACTTTTTGCTAATGTACGCCGATACCATGGATATTCATTTTGCTAAATTTACTTCTAAGAAGACTGGGGGAAGAAACGAAAACTCCCATCTCCTTCTACAACCCACCTAGCTTTGGCCTTTTGTTTAAGATCGCTAATGTCAGCTTCATCGTTCTCCAGAATACGCTTCATAGCATCCACTCTGATCTGTGCATCAACCAAACTCAGATGACTGGTAATCAAATTCTAATCTAAATCGTTAACCTTGGCCATGAGTAATGCCTTCTCGGCTTTGATTGAATCCAATTTCAACTTCCTCCATTCTTTAATCTTCACCTTTAGCCGTTTTAAATTGGAAAGGAAGTGTCTAATATTATTGGAATTCGAGCACCCGTTTTGGTTTTTCATCCAGCCCTCCTTCGCTAGCTGCAAAAAATCTGAATCACAAAGCCAAGAATTAAAGAGTTTAAACGGAATCGGCCCAAAATCCTCACCACAGCCATCCAGAAGGATTGGGCCATGATCCGAGTATAAGAATGGCAACACGGTCACACATGCCTTAGGCCAAAAGGAGAGGAAATCCTTGGACACCAAGAACCGATTTAGTTTACTCCATTTAATGCCATCCGCACTTTTCCTCGTGAACATCCGACCACCCATTTTGAGATCCAAAAGACCATTCACAGAAATAAAATTATTAAAGGCCAAGGCACTCGCGGTATCGTACTCAGATCCTAACCTTTCTTCCTGACATCTAACAACATTAAAGTCTCCGTAACAGATCCAAGCATCGACCTCAACTGACTTTAAAAGCTCCGTAAGGATAGCCCACAAACGAGCCTTTTCGCTAGAGTCTTGAGGAGCATATATGTTGCAAATGCCTAACTTAACCCCGCTAGGACGCTAAGAACCGATGATGATCAGAAAATTCCTGTCTGCAAATGAGTATAATTTAATGAAAAGAGAAGAGTCCCAGAGTGAGACATGACCACCGGACCTACTAAACGGATCGACCGAGGCCATATCAACATTCCTGCCCCCCCACAAAGACGAGCAAAGAAACTCGTTTGGAATCGAAGAAATTTTTGACTCCTGCATGCAAAGGAAGTTCAATCTGTTATCCTGCTTAAGCTCTTCCAACCATTTTCTCTTGACGCCACCCCGAAGACCATTAATATTAAGAGATAAAAATTTTAACATGAACGAACATCATTTCCGTCGACATGCAAAGTGTCTCTAACCAAATATTCTTTCCCTTCCATCGCAAAGACAACCAGACTACCAATATGAATTGTTTCATCGACTTCATTAATGGGTACCTTGGAATCGATAGCAACAATCGGAACCGCATCACCTATCGGCAGATCGCCAACCACCCTGTCTAGCCCGACCGCCTCCGAATTAGGATCATCGATAACGATGGCATTTTTGTTCCTCGCTCCGTTCTTCCTACGACGTTTCAGCTGCATATCCTTTTTCCTCGAGACAACCATCCAAGAATGAAGATCTTCTAAATCATAATCACCCAGGGGGGAATCAGATTCACCTATATTTTTACCAGAGCCATCCTCTTCCTCCCTCTGGACTCCCTCATCACCATTGAGATCAATAGACGCCGAAAAAGCGTTAAGATCGAATTCCCGAGTTGAGATTCCTGGTAGGCGCTGTCCCAAAAGGGCCCTCCTGAGAACAGTTTCCATTACTTTTTTCAAAACAATCCAAATTGAAGCCATAAAAAACAGGCCCAACTTGAGACCTAGAGAAGATAATAGTGGTCCCCATCGGCCCAAAACTACTATCTGTAACTCCAACAGGCCCATTACCCACAAAGTTATTATCCGTGCTGGCATTATTACTACCTCCTTCAACATTCTGTTCCCCATGCAGGCCATAAAAGGAAGTCTCAAAATCCCTGCCATGATTGCCACCCGAAAAGTGTTTCCGGCTACCAGAACCTGACTGTTCCCCTTCAGCTTCCTCCGACTGTCGAAACTGTGAGAAATCAACCTGCTCCGGTGACGGGGAAAGAAGACCATCGTCAATGAGATTGTCAGAACGATAATCCGATTCCAATTCACCAGTAGCATCTTCAAAGAAGGAACTTATGAACATTCCCTCCGCAATATCTACGGCCACACGAACATGAACCCGAACCTCATCAACGATGATCTTTAGAGAGTCCATTATCCATTTTTTCTCGCCAGTAAGAATACCGACTTTCCCAACTTCACAATTTCTGCAATCCGCCAAAATTATCCGGAATGATAACTTCTCCCTATCTGCCGGCGATTTCAGCAAACACACTAGGGGTCCAAGCTTGAAAGGCACGCCGTGAACAGTGACAAAAGCGATCCTTT